TCGACTCTTTTACAACCGTTTTTCATTAATTTTGTTGTTTCTTCTCTCCATGAATTTTAAATGCGTTATCGGTGTATTTTTAACCGTAAATTTTATTCCAGTTGTTTAAAAAATGGAGAGAAGACCCAGAAATATCAAAATCTAAACTTTTTCCATTTATTTTCTGGCAGAAAAATGACAAAGTCCAATTGTATATGGCTTTGGCTTTAAATAATGATTTAAATACATCTATGTATAGTGTCCTGATAGCTACATTGGTTTGTCGCTGGTTTCGAGCCATATCGAAGCAGCATTTTTGGTTCGAATACAGTGATTATTTTATTTTTTTTTTTTTCTTTTTGCTTGAAAATTAAGATTTGATAGTAAAAAATTACTCTTTGAATAAAATTGCAAAGTATGTTTTATAAATCAATTTACATTCATTTGTTTTATTTTTCAGTGTGTTCAAATTTTGTCAGTTATAGTGGTAACGTTCCCAAATAGAATTAAACATACATGAATTTGTAACTACAAAGTTACACGTGATGAAAAAATATTGAATATAATTATTTAAAAGAAAATAAAAACCTTGCAACTTCGATCGTTCTGTTACATTCAATATTTTGAGTACATTTGAATACTGAGCACAAAAATTATTTAGTGTTACACTTCTGTTATATTTCATTAAATGTTTCCAGCATAGATAATTTATCTTTCATGACACCTTCTTATTGAAAAAAATATTCACAAATAAACAAACATAAGACAGAAATCCATTTCCATGAAGTATCTATAGGTTCATTGTATAAGATATGTATTAAAACTACATGGTGCTTGGACATTTAAACCTGAATTGTTTCGTGTCAATGATTCCTGCCTACTACCTATCTAGTGTGCCCACTTTCTTTTAATGATGCACATTTACTTCATTACAGAAAAGATGGAAATTATTTGGCCTGTCTCGGAGAATCTCTCAAATACTTGACCATTTTTTGCTTTAACAACATTACGTTAAGTTGAAAGATGCCATTGCACTAGAGATCAATTTCGTTTGGCACCACGTTCTTGATAAAAAAAATATATATATACATAATTTTTTTAAAGAGTTAAATTGTATCGATAACATATTCTTGAACTTGAAATGAAACACAAAATAAAATCGGTGGGAAATAAAACTTAGGTTCCGTACAGTTTTGGATAAATGTCTCCCAGTATGATCCGTTTTGTCGCATGCAAACATTTCTTTCCTGGAAAACAAAACTGCAGGATACTCAGAAGATAACAGCTTCTAAAATGCAGCGAGGAGTTTTCCATGGGGATTTTTTTTAATGAATACTATGGCAAGCCCTTTTACTATTTATTCGTGAAATCAATAAGAGAGATATTTCTCTTGCATAGAGAGATATCTCTTTAGCTTATAGAGATATCTCTTTGACTAAAAGAGATATCTTTATACCTTAGAGAGATATCTCTTTATACAAAAGAGATATCTCTTTATGTAAGAGAGATATCTCTTTTACTTAGAAAGATATCTTTATAAGCTAGAAAGATATCTCTTTAAGCGAGAGAGATATCTCTTAAAGTTAGAGAGATATCTCTATAACAAGGTTAAAAGAGATATCTTTCTTACTTAGAGAGATATCTCTTTAGATTTTCAAAAAGAGATATCTTTATAAGCTAAAGAGATATCTCTTTTAATGAAAGCGATATCTCTTTTCCAGTGATCCTTGAAATAGAATAATTAATTCTCCACTTTAAAACGAAAGCGAAACAGGAAGTAAAGTCTCTGGAATAGTTTCGATGTTATAAGAAAAAAGACTGAGTGCTCAATTAGCAATTACCCAGAATAATACATGTACTGTAGACAAAAATGCTATAAAAATTCTTTTACTTGAAACAACAAATAATAATGGTAACTTCGTTGATAAAAATGCTAATATTCAGGAAAACGAAAGTAAGCATATATATAAATCTCAAATGCAATGGACCGAATTTTCTCAGCTTATGAAACAATCAACTATTTCTAATCTGAGTATTTCCGTCAATAAAAAGCTTACTTCCGCTAAAGGGAGGTCATTTGAAATGGAATTAAAAAAAAAAAAATATGAAGAGAGACATCTCTTTGCAACAAAGAAATATCTCTTTTTGCTTGAGAGATATCTCTTTTAGACACTTTTGAAAGATATCTCGTTCACTTCAAGAGATATCTCTTAAGATAAACTAAGAGAGATATCTCTTTTACTTAAAGAGATATCTCTTTAACTTGGAAAGATATCTCCAAAAGTAAAAGAGATATCTCTCTAGGTGAAAGAGATATCTCTTTAACGTTTAGAGATATTTCTTTTCACGAAAGAGATATCTCTAAAAGAGAAAGAGATATCTTTTCAAGTGGAAGAGATATCTCTCTAATAAAAAGAGATATCTCTTTAAGTTTAAGAGATATCTCTTTGTCATAGAGATATCTCTTAAAAATGAGAGATATCTTTTAAGTTGAGAGATATCTCTATTTTTTCAAGAGATATCTCTGTAAAATGAGAGATATCTCTGTAATTTTAAGATAAATTTTATTTTCTGAATAAATAGTAAAAGGGCTTGCCATAGAATACTGTATATATCAACGTACTCTACGTTTTTACTGCCTACTTGCTAATTATAACATATTTAATGAAGGGGATTGTACATTCCACTGAATTCACACTTCCAGAAAAGCTTGACGTCATTGCAATACTTTCCAATATTTTCTCTAGGTGACAATATATTTTTTGACATCAATAATTACAAAAAAGTATATTTCAAACATACACGAAATAACTAAATTTCTTTTTTTCTAAAGTTATTTATGTAAGTAAATTCCATTTATTCAAGATCATTTTTAAATTATATTCATAATAATGAAAGTAAAAAAGAGACTTTGCATGAAAATAAAATTATTACATTTTTTTAAAATTCTATTTTTTGATTGAAGATGTATAAGAATGCTGGGCATAAAAATCCAGGTGTACTATATACATGCTTCTACATAACCTTTAAATATTTTACTACCCCGCTTTCACAAATTGAGGGATATTTATTTTAGTCTGTCCGTCTGTACTTTTGATTGCCTGTAACAGTTTTGTCTCCGCCCAATATCTCGAGAAGCTTTTGAGCTGTTGCAATGAATCTTACACAACTTCCTATAACAAAGAAAGTTTAGGTCAAAAGATCAAAGGTCAAGGTAATAATTTTTGTCAATTTAAACATTTTCGTCTCCATGCGATATCTCGAGAAGCCTTTTTGAGCTTTTGCAGCGAAATTTTATTATCAATTCCAGTGAAGTTATAATTCATTTATTCGATTTCAGTATACCTCATATAAAGTCGATAAAATACAAGGGTAATTTAAAATCATTTTTTTGGCAATGCTTCATCTACATAATGTATTAAGAGACATATCAACAAATTTTCATTGAATATTCCATCTAGTCAGAAACTAGAGAAGAATCCTACCTTAAAATAACACTCAAACGCGTACGAAAATTACAAGAAATAAATATATAAGTTAAAAATAGCTAAAATACAATGTAGAAGTTACAGATAACTATGATTGGTTTAAAACTCCTATTGCGAATTAAACAGACACATCAATTACCCCCCGGATTTTCTTATACTTTCCTTTTCCCTCTGATTTCTTAAATTCCCCAGGTTGAGCTTTTAAAAAAATTATTTCCAGTGTTTCCCCTCCCGCGAAGAAATCTGTAATTGAAAACGTCTCCTAGTTGTTTCGAAGTAGCGTATCAGATATCGATGCTGACACAATAAAAGATGATCTTTTTTTTTACCATAGTTGTACATATGTATACAATTTGCAGAAAATTTTAAGGTATGTCAATAACCTTGAATGAGAAATATTAAAATAAAAGTTAAATGATTCTGGTACAGATAATTTTATTTTTAGTTTTGATTTAAACTCTGTAATGAACACTTTTGCAAGAACCTATTGGAAATTTTTGGAATCTCAAGATGAAACACTTTCAATATTGCAGTCATTCTTAATTGTGAGGGTTTCTAATGAAATACATGTAACATGTATTTTTAAATTCTACAAACCAGGAACAATTCCCAGTTCATTAAAGATAACTGGCGCTTTTTTCTTCTTCAAAGAGAGGGAAAGATTTTCTATTTCAAGCAGCAGTGATATTATCCTAAAATTCAAGAAAAAATAGCATTTGCCACTTGATTTTCAGTCAAATTATAAATTAGGGAGAGGAATATGGATTCCTTCTCTAAGAGCAATGTATCCATCCTTTTTTTGTATTTCAGATTATGTAATAATATCAACACATTACGAAAAAAATGTAAGTGGTTGGCATAAGCTTTGATAAAAAATCAAACTAATATCACAAATGCTTTCATCAAATGAAAAGGTTTCCTTAGTGACTTTGATTTTATCTCCAAATTATATCAATGAAACAACTCAGTTCTACTGGGGAGAAGAAAATAATATGATTTATTGTGAGAGATGTTAATTACAGATTATTTCATTTACTAGATCATATAGTTTGAACCTACTAGCTGCTAGCAGATATATTAAATAGAACGTTAGTTTATCAGATTATCGAGTTTGAACCTGTTAATAACTCTACTTGGTTAAGGAACACTTCTTTTATCATGACTATAGGAACCGAGGAAGGGTGGGGGGGGGGGGGGTTCAAGGACAGATTTCTTGAAAGGAAAAATAGCACAGGAAACAATTTTAAAAACTCGACCTAGAATTTGTACATCAGCGATAGGATGTATCCCAAAAATATCCTATAGAAAACATAACCTACTTAATGTTTGTGTCCACTCATTCAATAATAAGGGGTGATGACCTTTCGAGATTTTTTTGCTCCCCCAATTATACATCAGAAAACGACTACTACATGACTTTGTCCACTCAAGTCTGATGGCCTCTTTTGTGCTTATGAAGGAGATTTTTGCTTGGTAATGCCCACAACTGAAAATTTTTGGTTAATGAAACCTAAAACTTCATAAGTAACCTACCTGAGAAAAACACATAATCCTAACTTGCCTAGATCGTCCTTGATCAAATCCCACGAATTCTGCACTAAGTGAATCTGTCTTACTGTCAAATATTTACCGAGCTCTTGTCCCCGTGTTTTTGGCACATCAGGACACGTGATCGCTTGATTTCCCATCACTACTCACTTTTATATGTCCTTTTTATCTGCAAGAAAATTATTTACACACGACTCGTCATGTTTTTATCGTACATTCATGGAACTTCGTCAGAAATCAGTTTTTCTCCGTTTTATTAGTTCCTCGCTTTTAATGAGTGAAATTTGATCTGTCACTTAAACAGCACTTGTATTCCCCCTAACGAAAGCTTCCTGTCACTCGCGGAGGCTGAAATCCCTCTCCGTGTAGTGAACCAAATGTTGCTCCTTTATAATGACATTTCTCGCCAGCTCTCCGTAAACAATGCAGTGCGGATCTACGCATCCAATGAGAGCGGTTTTCTTCCGTTGAAGAGGATTTTTTTTTCTTAATAAAAGTGTGTGAAATACAACATAATTAATTGAAACAAGGAAACCAAGTGGATGCATAAAGTAATGAACAATTTAGTTTTTCTTTTAGATTTTATTGAACGAGAAAAAATATTGGTGGTAATAAAATCAAATGAAAAAATATTTTCAAAATTATCACAAATAAAATCATAAATTTTAAAAGCAAGTGTGACGAAATATTACATAAGAAAATACTGAACATGACCAGAAATTCTGACTTTCGCTGAAAATAAACAACTTTTAAAGACTGACCACAATACCTTTATTCTTCATTGGCCAATTATCTTAACAAATCTGATCTTGTAGCTATACCAGACCACTCGACTTTCTGAGGGAAATACTCAATTTTATTACCCTGGAAGCAGCTGCCTATTTCCCGCATAATTTTTGGAGAAGACGATGAAAATGCTGTTTTCTTTTTAATTAAGACAGGAAAGCAGGGAATCCGATTTATCTATTTCTGCGATAATCAATTATTTTTTATAACATGTAATTAAATACAACAAATGCATACTTGTACCTGTTTGTACCACTATTTCAAAATGTTCACAATTTGTTTAATTAAGAATTTATTTGTAATATACTTTTTTCTTTTAAATGCTGGCAAGTGAACTAACCTCAAGTTATTTACGTGCAGTGTTGTTGATTAAGTGAAAGCATGTAAAAGTTGATCAAAAAATCTCCCATATGATGTAATTCCTTTTCATCTTGAAAGATTCCGATTCCCTTGGTAAATAACTAGGATAGAAATTATATCTAAAAATGTACAATTAGCAAACAGAGAAGTACTTTAAATCATGATATTTTAACATTTAAAAATAATGACAATATGGAAATTAAGTGTCCTTTAGGGTTTATTCGAGAGAAAGAATTTCAAATAGGTTTCATTAAAAATAAGGATCATTGTTTTTCAATTAGATAAATGTTTCATGCTCAAAGATTTATTATTAAGTTTAAGAAATTACTTTAAAGTTATTTTTTAAGAAATAAAACTGTTACATAGACCCTGATCTATGAACTTGCTGTCGATTTTCGTCTTAATATTAACCACAAACTTATTAGACAGCTTGTAACATAATCACCAAAAAAAAAAAAAATTACTTCTTTGAGAAAAATTACACATTTTAAGAAAAATAAAATCCGACGCAAAGTAAGCAATATATAGGATGACAATAACACAGTGACTACGGTAAAATTTTGGGGAAATATTCTTACATGTTTCTACCTACAGTAATATCAGTTCAGTTCAGTTAAGTTTATTTCACCCAGACCAAACTATTGGTACATGTGCATTAATAACATACCTGTATATAATTATATATATACATGTACAATATATACAGCTGGTCAGAGGTATATATACAAAATAGAAAACATGACAGAAGATTAAGAGGGGAAAATAAGAGTGGGGAAAATATACACATGTATCTATATATTCAGAGTTGTCGTTCATTCCTCTCTCAGACACTCATGAAACATGAAGTAAAATGCATCATCGATATAACCAGAATTATTTCAAATGAAACTTATAGTTCTTATATGTCTAGATTTTTATTGGGCAATTCTTTACGTTAAATAGAAGTTTAAGCGCCTGCCAGGCTTTTAATTATAATGAATGAAAACAAAGACAATTTCTCGCGCTCGTTCTTATGTAAAGTTCTGTGAACCATCGATCTTCTATCGAATTCAGCGTTTGATTTACAACATTTGGGAAAAAACATAATTACCCTGGCATTGATTTTTAAAAACAACGTTTGTATTGATAATGATAATCATATGTTTCTTTTTTCTTCTAAATTGTATTTGTTTAATGTCGGCAGCAGACATGAGAAACTGGGAGAGCTACCAGACTGGATGTTTTCACAGCTGACTTCACCATATTAACAAAAAGCTTATTAAGAAAATTTATGTTCCCCCGCTGAAGAAAAAGAGAGCATGCACGGATCTAGATGAGAGTCGGGAGATGGGGAGGGGGGGGGGGGCTTCAGAGGGATGGGCGTTGGGCCATGGGGAGTTATGGTATGAAATTTCATTGCAAAAGCTCAAAACTTTCTTGACAGGTCGCCCGGAAATGAAAATTAATATGAAATTACGTCCTTGACCTTTTGATGTCAAAATAAAAGAGGTTCTTCCTTAGGTCATATAGGGAGTTGTGGTGTACAATTTCATTGTCAAGCTCAAAGCTTCGAGTTACGCAGAAATAATGACTTACTAACCTTTATCTTTTGTCCTTAAAATCAATAGGGGTCTTCTTTAGTTCTAAATGAGTTGCTTAGTAAAATTTCGTTGCAAACGCTCAAAGTTTCTCGACAGATCCAAATTTATATCCCCCACTCTCAGTGAAAGCGGAGGACAGATACATGTACATGTATTTCAAAGCTTTTGAATTATCAACGATTTAACGGTGTGTGCGTGTATAAATATATTTGGATCTGTATAAAACTCAACAAATCGACTTATTCTAACAATACTATCTATAATCTACTCGATACAACGTTGCTTTAACTTCAATATTAAAATACATTCCCACTTAAATGTTTATGTGGGGCAACCAAATTTAGCATGACTGAAAGTAAATTTGTACACTGTAAAAATAGATTCTAAGCTTTGCAGGACGTTTACGATAGTGCAAAAAGACACTTTTAGTTATGCTAAAAACTTAAAAGGAATACACGTAGTACATGTATAGATAAAGCAACGTAACAATTTTTATGAGGCATGAAAGATCTAAATATCAAGCTACAGTAAATTAATTGACAGGTAAATATTCACTTATTAAAAGATCACTCATTTTTACATTTTAGCATATTTTACATTGTCATCAATTCATGTTCATATAATAAATCATTGACATGTACTTTGAACAGTTTTTTTTAAGGTATTTCATTACAAAGTCATATTAAGGATATATGGTCCTTTTTCACAAAAAATCGAACAACTAAGAGAAAAAATCGACGCCCTCATAATTTTGTTTTTGTTTGAAAAAGATATTTTATATTTTCCTAAAAATATCATTTGCAATTAAAATTTAATTTAACTAGTGCTAATTGTAACGGGAACCGTTACAGATGTTCCCCAAACGCTCCCCAACTCCCTTTTGGTGCCATATTCCCTGTAAGCTTAAATAAATAAGACAAACTCTGTGCATTTTTGACTTTAACAACGTTTTCCCAAAAGGATACCAATTATATTCATATTTTAGCATTGCACCCAAGCGCATGTACGTGAATGCATATGCGTTATGACCATATCATCTTGTCTACACTATCTATATATTCTAATATACTATATATTAAAGCATTCAGTCCAAAAGAAATAAAAATCACTGATCTAAATCCCCTTATTTTTAAGATATGAAGCATTTAAATGCTCCCTTACTGCATGATCAGTGCATGAATAACACACAGAGCACTCTTGTAGCAGTTCCTTTACATCTTTTGAATCAGAATTTCATCATTAAAAGAATAGAGCTTGGCAACCAATTTTTTATCTGTGGAGAGTGTATGCTTTGTTCTTCACAACAAACAAAAAAGAGGTTGATTTCATGACCATTATGTAATTATTACATAACAAAGTTGCATTTTCCCCTTCAAAGAATGAACAAAAATTTACAGAAATTGTTAAAAACTGGGTTGATAATGAATATGTATTGGTAAATTTATGTTCCAAATAAAGCCTAGGTATTTGTCTTCAAGCTGCTGTGCAGAAGTTTATTTAAATGCTGTGTTGTAACTCAGGACAGTCTAAATGATATCAGCATCTAGGGAGGTTCTTGACAGCTCCCACACTCCAATAAACTGGCTTTGATGATAAGAAAATGGAGACAACAATTCAGATGTAATTTATTGTTGTGATTTATGTAACTGGCTTTCTCTTAAGACACAAAGTAGCCATGAAATTTCAATTTGACATGTATAATTATTCTCTTTTCATGGATTTACTCAGGAATTCCAAAGGTGTTTAATGAATTTCCATGATTTATGCAAATTTCTTTTTGTTTCACCCAATTTCATAAAAAAATAAAAATTCAAATTTTAAAATATATATTAAACATTCTTATGGGTTTGAACACTTTTATATGTGACAAAATGCATCACAGAGGCCAGTTTCAGGACATCCTCCATGATTCTTTGAGGGGGGTGGGTGTACAAAAACTGCTGATAAAATTTATAGGAGGTGATCTGAGAAGAAAGGTGCACCTTATTAGCTGCATTATAGTTATTCTGATATTTTAATTATGTAAATATGCCAAATTTCTTCATCAGTTAAATTTGCAATTTATTAATATTTCAGTACAATGATATCCTTAATAGATCATGCTCATATAAGCATCACTGACTGAGATTTGAATCAAAAGTAACAGTCAACACCTACATATAAATGAAAAAATAACAAAAAACAGTCTCCGACAAACTGAAAAAACATGAATGTCAGCTGCGAAAGCATGAATAAAGTCCTGAGAACCACAATAGGCATGCCATGGTGCTAAGTGACATTCTGCACTACATGTATGATGCATGATTAGAACTCAGAATAAGTATTATCATGCAGACTCTGACAGTATTTAAGGATTTTTTGGTCATAACCTTCCTTCCTGTGAAAAATTCTTAATGAATTTTACTTATGTAGCTTATGTATGAAGTTTATTAGACAGATTTGACTCATTTCATTATTTCTATTCTTCCAATGCAGTAACATATGTATCAATGGAGGTGTGAATAAATTAAAATAAATCATATGTCTGTAGAAATTATCATTCTGTGAGAACATATTTCACTTGTTTACATTTTATACAGTTGTCGCTTGTGCTGAAAATTCATTCGCAAACCTAGAACTAGTCTATTCTTGAAAAATCAGCTTTAACACCCTTTACCGCAAAATCTGTAGATACTATAATTGACTGCGGTCAG